TTAAAAGTGCACACTTACTCCAACCTGAAATAAACAAATGCAGGCCTGGACTGTTTGGGCCATAGAAATTTGCTGTGATTAAAAACCCCTTTTAATCACACAATTGTAGCAGCTGAACCATATCTGATTAACTCTTTGGTCTCTGTCATTGGGACAAAGTCATGCTCTGACTCCAGCCACAGACTGGTCAGAGGCGCATTTAAAAATAACAATAAAATAGGAGGAATGTTTTAAGTCAAACAACGGAATCAAGGCACTTTTTTTTTTTTCTTTTTAAGCATTACGTTGCTAAAAATTTTCCTGAATCTCTGATACTTCAAAAGCCAGATTATCTATCATGTCACTGCACGCTTTGGCCTATTCTTTCGGGATACGTGAACCCATATTCTTCACCCTCTTTCCATTTATACTTGCTTTATTCTGACCCAATCACATGCTATGTAGGTCTAACAATATTAAGGCATGTCTAAATAACAGATAAGTGCTTAAAAAAAAAATTAACAAACACCTTGAGGATAACATCAAACTTGCTTCTCTGCTGAGGGACACTGGAAATGCTCAATCATTTTTCCCGTTAGGGAGCAACGTCGCACTCTGTGTGAGTAAGGATGATAGGCCAAAATTTCATCAAGGTTGAAAGCCTCGCGTTACAGAAAAAGTTCCTCCTTTGGGACCACATTAGGTTAATTTCTTCAGAGCGCTAGAATGCCAATTCTGGTGGGAGCCGCTGAGTCAGAAAGAGATAGGAATGTTCAGAAACGGAGTCTGATCAGAACAGTGTTCTTGGCAGGGAGAATAACACAGCCCAAGAGCGGCCCCAAAGCCTCAGCTCTGCTATTCTGGTGATCACAGCCACCCAGCATCACTGTAAAGGCACAGGCTATGAGCTCACTAACAAAAAAATAATCAATTTTAAGAATAAAGCCCAGAGAGGGGGGGGCCAACAGGGTGGCGCAGTGGTTAAAGCGCAAGGCTCCCATGTGGTTGACCACGGTTCGAGTACTGAACTTGGTGGCTTGAAAATCACACTGGTCTTGGGTATGTGTGTTTCCAAAATCCTGAGAGAAGAATGAAGGAGAAGGTTTCAGAGTGGCTATCTCCCCGGAGGGTGATTTCTTGCTTTCTCTCTCTCTTCTGCCTTTCTGTCTTTCTCCAGAAAGCACACATACCCTGTGGCAAAAACCTAAAAAAATAAAAAAAATTTTAAAAAGTCTAGAGAAACAAGTTATTCTGCAATCCTTCCTGATTACTCATCTGCAAACTCCAAGGAAGCAGAGGAGTTGATCCAAAATCACCAGGAAGGAAATGCCAACAGCTGGCCCCAAGTGGTTTGATGTAGAATTTGACTCACAAAAAACAGCTCTGGGATCAAGGGGCTTTCTGGGAATTTTGAATTAAGTGTTATCTGTGGCTGTGTGTTAATTTTTTTTTTTTTTTTGGTTGTGCTACAACAAAGCTTAACTGTATGAGATAAAGAAGACTTGGAATGTCACACCCCCAACTATGTATAACACCAGATCTATAAAAATATAACCTTACATTTACCTAGGGCGATTAGCTACGCAAGGTAGGGGTCGCAAACTGGTGGCCTCCAGGCTTGACTACCTATTTTGTTTGGCTCGCATGGTGTTTTAGACATTTTTAAATTATTTGCTTAAAAATCAGCAAGTTTCACTTTTTAAAAACAAATCTTGATCTCTAGACCCCACCCGTTTTTCTGCATGGAGCTGACTAATGGCTGTCCCCTTTAAGGTGGGCACAGTCTCCACGCCCACCCACCCCTATACTTACTTACCCCCCTCCCTTACTTCTGGAGGCTGAGAGTTTGCGACCCCTGGTTGGAAACAGCACATACCTAAACAACGCGTTCCCTAACCCAAACCTCTCTCGCACCCTCATGTGATTTTCACTTATCTCCCCTTCCCCTACTCTCCCTTTCACGTCCATCCTCAGTCCTCCTTCCTGGATTCTTCAGATTTCTTTTGCTTTACTTGCCTTCTCCCCTCTTCAATTTCAATCTCATTTTGCAAAAAACACCTCAGTCCAGGAGCATTCCAGGAAGGCTTCCAGGACCAGCTCGGTGGGGACTATTGAATGGTGTCCCTTGCAAAATGGCTGAGTCGTCTTCCCCAAGACATTTTCTTGGGGTGCTGGCTGGACGACTCAATTCTTTGTTGTTGAGTCTTCCGTATGAGACTATCTGCATACGTGAATCTCCAGGACTACACATACACCAAAAACGTGTACTGTAGATGACCTGCAGACATGACGGAGCCCTTCTGCAATATGGAATTGAGCTTCATGGACTGCCTCGGGCAACCATCACACCTGGTTAATATGCCATATTATTTCATTTGTACACAGTACATGTGTAGATTACTAAACATTGATCAAAATTGATCGACATCTCTTACATTTTGGTTACCATGTACAGAGAACAAATGCTCAGCATGGCATTTAAATAAAACATTCATATTTGAACAAGTTACAAATACAATGCCCCATTAATTTAAAAAAAATAAAATTTAAAAACCTTGAGGATGGATGAGGCTTTGGGAAATAGGCCTTAAAACAAACAAGCAAACAAAAATACTATATGAACAGTAGGTTATCAGAGATATACTTTAAAACATTAATATGAAAAAGGCACCCATCAATGCAGCTAGAAATATTTGGAAAAATCAGCTTTTAAAGCTTTATAATCCTTCCAACAGCCCCGCTATCCCCATTCCAGTAGACTTAATGTCTACAGGGGACATTCTGGCTAAGTATAGAAATTAGTATTATTTATATATGCTCTACTCTTGGCACTTATTTAAAAAGCAATTACTAAAAAATATGTGCAGTTTATATCTTTGCTGGAAGTTGGTGGTAGACTGATCCCTTTGCTCAATGCAGTACCTTAGGACCTAACACTGACCTCAAAAACTAGAAATGACCTTTGTGGTGTCAGCGGGAACCGTTTCCAAAACAAGCTCAAAGAGACAGCACATAGGCAGCTGTTGCGCGTTCAGTTGAGGCTGCAAAGGATGTAAGAGGTCTCCGCAGCTCTGAGGATTCCCACAGTGGTCAACTGAGTTCCCTGAAGAAAGGTTTCCAGAGTCCCCCCAAAAGAGCTCAGAAATTAAACAATGGCCCTATTCACTGAGCTACTTCTGTCTCCCAAGTTTTACCTGTAAGAGTCTAAGGAGGTACATGTCTGTTTAAAATAAAAATTCAAAGATGATACTGCGATTGGCTCTATTTCCAACCGGGCAAATGGATGACGGACCATTCTGGACTTTGAGTTTCAAGTCAATTCATGCATTTGGAAGCTTTAAGAAGTTTTGAGGACAAAGATTCCAGAATGAGCTCCTCCGGGCTCCAAAATACAGACAACCTGTGGTACGTATGTCTAAAGAGAAACAAAACAGACTTCTCATGGGCTGTCTCCTATATTCTTGCCCTAACTGGCCTCCTCCATAGGCTCACTGACCAGGGAGTAACTGATCTTCAAGCAGAGCCCAAGACACTGAACCAGAAGTGAAACATTTTGCAAGACCTGTGCTAAATCAACAGCTCCTCAAAAAACAAACCTTCCAACTAGTAAGCCTCGCTGCAAGTGGACTGAGCGCTAACTGCATGCCAGCTACCACAGCAGGTATCTCCTCTTCACTGGCTCCGTAAACTCAGAAAGAAATCTCTTCTTACAGGAGTTTGCTAAAAAGCTTGAAACAAAAAAGGTTTCTGTCTCCAGGCAGCAGCAAGTCCTGGAGAAAAACCTTTATAGGCAAAGAACGAAAGACATCTTTCTCTAGACTCAACCTGTTTCACACCCTCATCCGTGGTACCTCTTTTGTTGCTACTTGGCACTGTGCCTTGCTCATAGTAGGCACTCAGTAAACAGGTGTTGACACGCTGGTATACAGCTGAGCTCATGGCCTGGAGGGATATTCGGCCAGCAGGCTGCCTGCTTTCCAAGGCTGCGCATTTCTTAATAAGTGGACCTGGCCTCCCTTTCAGACGCAACTTCTGGTGTTAGCAATGACCACAAAATGAAAGAAATGATCAAAATAAAGTGCTGTTTGTTTTGGAAGTTTCTCTAACCGAGTCTTGATTGCTGCTCAACGCACATGAGTTAAGTTTTGACAATCCCGTCAAACGCCCATGATTGCACCATTTAAAAAATACATTAATATTAATTTGAATAGTGGAAATTAATGTCTTTCAGGACATTAACCTCTAGAATAGAATTCCAATTCCACTTGTGGATAAAAATTCAGTTTTTTAAAAAGGCAATCAGGAATCCAGTACCTAGCAAGTAGTGATACCAAAAACATTGAATTTTTTTTTTTTATGTTGGGGCAGAAAGACCTGTGCCTAAAACCCAGCTGAGGGAATTGTCCCTGCAGCTAGCTCTCGCTTCCTCTGTGGGACTTCCCTAAAAGCGGATCCACACAAAACAACGTCTGCACCAACTCTTAGCACCTGCGGTGTCTTTCCATAGCTTGAGGACACTCCAGTGGGTGTGAAGAAGGTGCCATAACTATCTTGGATTGTTGAACCAGGGGGTGACATTTAAGCTATCAAAGCTTGTGGCATCCTTTAAAGTTTCCAACACCTTCTGCAGCTCATCTTGCATCTAACTGGCTTCACTGCCATCTTCACCCTCACCTGATGGGAGGGACTTTAGGAGCATTTGGTCAGGTGGGGGTGCTGTCGAGGTTCACGGTTCACCTGCAGGGAACCCCTGGGTGCGCTGACTCCGGGGTAGGGGGCACCTAGCAAGGTAGCGGGGACCCCCATAAGCCCGCAGAAGCTGAGGCAGCCTTCGCCAAGTGGACAGCAATCGGGCCGCTGCAAGTTCCCTGGCACGTGGGTCAAAGGCAGCCAGGAGATCAACTGGGCCAGCTTCTCTCAGTACCTTGGGCAGCGGGCCTACCTCGCTGGCCGCCCCAGCAGGACTCAGGACGCAGTGGGAGAGCGTGTGGCG